GAGATACTTTTTTGAAACCACTTTTTTTGGGTTATATTTCACCCTCTCATATGTTCCAGAGGACCAAAAAAACAACTTCAAAGGGTCATAAATATCAAGGTCAGATTCCAAACTTAACCAACCTGCCAATTCCCAGATACTTCCTCTCCCAAGAAAGTCAGATATTCTTGACTCATACAGGTGAACATTTTGAGGTATCTATTTATGAGATGGTACCATGATTAACTTACACCTTTATAATCTTCTAAAGCCATACCTACTACACTAGGCTTCAGATGGAAAAATCCAGAAAGCAATTCACTTGAGATGGCAGAAACCAAAAAGGTATGCATACCAATATGCTCTCATTTGTCAGTGAAGTCAGTCCTGTGCTGGTAACGTTTGGGTTAGTCCATTAACATTCACAGAGTCACAGAATCACAAGATTTGAAGGGACCTTAAAAAGGACTATAAATTCACTCATCCTCAAGGCTTAAAGTCCTTTCCAACATCTCTGACAAGCGGCTACCTACTGTCTTATAAAAGCTTGCCTGGCATGGGATATACAAGGGAAGGACCCTCTCCAATTCAGGGCAGATTTAATTTTCAAACATGGCTGCCATGTGTCAGACCTAAAGAAGCTTCTTAGTGGGAAGGGTAACATTAACAGGCAAAAATGCAAACTAAAACCTGAGGGGTGGTATTCATTCTCAGGTGCAAAGCTGAGCTAAAATTTAAATGTGAACACAGATATTCCTAAATACAGTTATGGACAAAAAGGCAAATAATGTAACAGCAAGAAATAGGCACTTTTGAGTGCTGCCATGGGGCATTCCTTCCTTGGCAGAGCTAGCTCTTTGGGAGCCAGGTGGCTGCCTGAACTCTCTGTACCTTAACTCAACTGAGAAAATTCTTTTCCTTCTGAGGAGTGCCCTGGTGACAAGGACTCCTGGTATTTGCCACATGGTGCTGGAGTGGCCCATTACTTTTGAGAGCAATCTAAGGCTAAGAAGGACAAGGACTACCAGTAGCAGCTGCCTATCTGTGCCCAGCAATACTTTGTATTGTACATTAATGCAATGCCACCCCTGACTAGAACAATCTCCTCCTGCCCCACCTGTTTCTGTAGCCTAGCCTTCCCCTTTTCGCAGCAGATCAGCTAAGCCTGGGAAGTCTACAATTTAGTCGTCAGTCATATTCTTCCACAGATCGTGCATGCATGATCTCCAGGTCCACATCTTAGCTGAAAGGCAGCAAGTCCAGAAAAATCCAAGTATTAGCTACCATGGGTCATTTTCAGATAACAATTCTTGAGATTTCCAAAGAAAAAGCAGCAGATACTAGTGCTAGCTGCAGGGTGAGCCTCTGAGCAAATCTGTCCCAGGGAACTGGGTGTGCCCTCCCTCTCCCAGGCCATGAGGCCATGGAGCATTGGGGTCTTAGTGGCCACAAGGGCTTGGGCTCCAGGCTTGCTGCTGAGTCACCTGATGTTCTCTGGCAAGGGCACCTCCTTGTGGTCCTTGTGCACACGAGGCTCACTGCAGATTTCAGGCTTGTCTGTGTTCTTTCTGTAGCCTAGATTTTCTTTACTCTCTGCTGGGTTGTGGTCATTCTGGCTAGGTCTCCAAGCACATCCTTATCATTAATCACATGGTGCTGTAAATGGCCCATTTATTCACCTGTGTGGCCTCTGCCCAGCCAGGAAGGGGCATAAGACACATGGTGACCCCAACAACAAGCTGCCTGGTGTTTGGGGGCTCTCAATAGTAGTGGGTTGACCTTGACCAGAAGAGCTGCAAGGATCACCTATAATCTAGATATCTCAGCGTTAAAATTGAGTTAATTTCTATGGTTTTTAATCAAGTTGCTAAATATCTGCTTTCACACTAGGAAAAATTTAACGTAACATTATTTTAAAGGAGAAAAATGAGAACATTTGGGCAAAACATGTTTCTTTCACTTTAAGTTATATATCTTAGTGAACAAGCTCCCTTATGTACAATTATGAAAAGGCAAAGCCAAAGGAATCTCATTTAATGAATATTTATGTCCACTAACTGTGACACATAGTTTAGAGCTACTCTTTTGCTTAAAAGCCAAAATTCAGGCTTTAAGGATTAATGTTAAACAAAAATACATTATATTTTCAAAAAGTGAAGCTCAAAAGATAAAATTGCAATGTGCCAACAGAAGAACAAATGCTGCAGCCCCACACTCACTCAAGCCTGGCCTTCAACAGGTGGGGACCCTTGGATTTCCACTTCAGTTTTACCCCTGGGGTGGTCTGGGGATGAGTGTGGAAAGGAGTTCGGTGGGTGAGGAACAACAATAACTGCCTCCTGATAAGAGTACATGCCCCTTACAGTAATAACCACAGGGCTGGGGCCAAGAGTGGTGTCAAATGTGCTTCCAATGAGAAGAACAAACCTGGTTCCAGAGAGCTCCCTGTCTCAAGGGGCTGGAGTCACTCCTCCCACTCATGAAGTTACTAGGTAATATTAAAAAACAACTGTTCCTTGAATCTTCTTTTGGATTCTCTTGTTTACTCTTCAATTACATCTAACTGCTTGGTATGACTAAAGTGTTTTTTCTGCTAGGAACATTCTAGATCTCAAGATCTCTTCCAGTTTTATGATTCTCTGAATAGTTCAAACAATAAAATAAATACATTATGGATGACTGACCGCATATAAAATGACACATGATTCCAAGTATTTAGTTTCAAACCATTTTTGCTACTATGGAGACACACCCAGGCAGCTGTAAACTCAAGCAACATCATTCCTTTGGGGGAACCAAGAACATATTAATTTCACTCTACTGAAAAGGGAACAACTCTGTGAAGTGCAGTTCTGCCACTTCCTCAACATAGCCACATTAGGCATTATATGCCAGAGCTGCTGTATGTTTAAGTAATTCTGCAAAAATATATGTAAAGTGCAAATCCAGTAGGGTACAACAAGAACTATGATTTTCACCTAGACAGGAGAAAAGCCAAGTGCTGGTGCCAGCTTTCACTCACAATGAATGAAGCCTGCATTTCCACAAAATGCTTGGAAGACATCCAACACCAGCACATATTTCTCTACAAGTTACAAAAATGGTGGAGATACTTAAATGCAAAATGCAAGAATTCACAGTATTACAAACACATACAATTAATCTGCTAAATAAACTCTTCACCAAATTCAAGCACCCACACAGATAAGGGGAAAGCAAAGGGGAGAACAATGGATACCTTGAAATACCTGTGGTTTTCAATCACGATTTCCATCATTAAAGAGATTTCAACCTCTGAGTGGCTCTGTAGGCTGGGCCACAGCACTGCAGGGAGGGAGGTGGCTGGAATGAAGCACAGGGTCACAGAACAAAGACCACAGTGTCCATATGTGATCTAATGGGGGCAATCAGCTTTCCAAGTGAGGTCTGAACTTATCTGTAACTAACTGGGAATCCATACAAAGCTTGCTGGGTGCCTGAACTCCTGCCTCCCTGAAACTATATTTCCTCCCTGTATGCAGGCCAGGTGCAGAAGACCAGGAAGTGAAAACAGAGTGACTCATGTTTAACACACAGCTCTCTATTACATACAATGTAGAAAATGGCCACAGGTTCTAGTAATAAACTACAAAATAGTATTTTAAATGTAATCCCCTTCTTAAAGCTCTCACAGAGCAACCATGAAAAACAAAGTAGTTATGACCACTTTGACTGAACACAAGCAAGAGTGGTGTGAAGTGACAGGTAGTGATGACTTGGTCATGTGTGTACATTTGGGCCTGTGTGCATCCTCTCAAGTGCTGGCCTCAGGTGATGACTGTCATGTGTCATGGATGTGCAGGACACACACTCTGGCCCTGCTTCCCAATGTTGGACCAGCCGAACCACTACCAGGAAGCCCCATCCCCAGGGAGCATACTGGGTCAGGGTTGGGGTGTATTCAAGTATAGCTTTCAATGGGTATTGCCAATAAGAAAAGTAATGAATGATTGTGAGGGGAGTAAAATGTTTTCCAGGAAAAGAAAAAAATAATGAGGATTCCTGTTTTACTCAAATCTTATCCATCACTAAAAACTTGTCAAATCAGAAGTGAACAGGTCTGGGGATTTAGCTCAGTGGTTCCAGTGCCTGCATCACAAGTGCAAGGTCCCGAGTTCGATCCCTGGTACAAAAAAAAGAAAAAGTGAACAGCTATTGTGAAGATAGGGTCCAGAAGGCGAAGAGCAGACAAATGTTCTGTTTATCTGTGAGACTTTATTTAATCTGGTGATCTTCAAGAGACTTGGTGAACTCCCTAATATTCCTGACAGGTGAGGATCTCATGAAGTGGTATCCACATATAGTGCTTGGAATGGGGCAGGTACCTGGCACATGCTTGCCACTAATTTTAATCCTATTTTTTCAGTGAAAATAGGATTTTAAAAAAGGACTTCCATATCACTCACTGTTTGATTTTATTCCCTTAGAAGTAAGAATTCTTCATGTTCATTTTCTAAAATCCGCTTTCATGTTCTCAAAAGGAACAGAGCAGGAGCTGTAGCATTCAGTACCTATGTATCTCAGATCACATAGTCTCAATATGAAAGTGTGCGGTGTTCAAATGAAATGCAGTAAGGTAAAAGAGTTGAATGTCTGGATTTTGAAGGGTAAGAAAATACAGATGGTAGGGCCGGCGATTTAGCTCAGCGGTTTCGCTGCCTGCTGCGCAAGTGCAAGGACCCGAGTTCAATCCCTGGTACCAAAAAAAATAAAAAAAATAAAAAATAAATAAAAGAAAATACAGATGGTGAGGAAGAGAGCAGGATTAAAGCAATGCATGTTCCAGTTCGGAGATGACGTGACGCACAAAAAAACAATCTTAGATACTTATTTTTGGAGCTTGTAGGTTTTTGTTTTGAGTGTTATAAGAGCTATGTCAAATAAAACAAAACAAAGCAACCCAAAAACCAAACAAACAAAAAACCCCTAACACATAAATGGCCCAGGAGGCCCCAGTTGAATGCAAATGATCCAGGCACTGATGGTTGAAGCTGTGAATTTTAATCATCTACTTCTGGGACGATGAACGTGGGAACATCTTTCTCACAGCATTTGCTAAAGTAGGAAACACAGAAACCTGAGATAAAAACACGAAGTCATTTCTACTCAGTGAGAACATGAATGAGTCAGACAACAGAAATGGATCATTCTTCAGGTGATTCAAGTTGGCCGGTGGAGCCACAAAAAAATCAAAAATCTTTCCATTGAGAAGGAATGAAAGCAGAAACACTGGGAATGAACATATAAATACACACACTCTGGCAAAAAGCAGAGAAGGTACAAGTAGATGAAGTCAAAAGACAAGAAAAAGATGCTGGCCACATGATATATGCCACAGTGAAAAAAATGTGTAAACTACTTTATAATGACCAATATACTCTGAACAGATAGTTCCCTTATTTCTCCAACACTCAAAGCAACAGGTAAAATGGAGGGCTGAAAAATATAAAAATTAAACAATCCCACACAGATTTTTTTCAGCATACTCAAAACAACGTAGCAGAGCCAGACTGTATAAACCATTTGTTAAAAAAATATCTTCTTTATATTGTATGAACAAGTTGAAAAGTCCCTGCAAATGTTCTTTCGCTAGTTCACCATTGACTGTGTAGGTAAGATGCACATTCACCTAAGGTCTTTAGTTTCTCTTACTTCTCACACATCTGCTTTACTTCTCCAGTAATGATTTGGATTAAAACAACCATTTCTTTAGTAAATACTATCTTTCTGATTCCTGGGGGGAGTCATCAAGACACTACTGGGGTCATATCCCATAACTGTAAAAAGAAAAAGAAAATACAGGGTAAATTAAAATCAAATTATACTGAAGATGAACAGTCCTTACAATTCAAGTGAAGTTTTTTTCATTTAACAAGCAACTACATACCCTTCTAATATGATTCTATACAGCTCAAAAATACGCCAAGGGCAGCTTGAAAGTTAATCCAGATAATGGAGAATAAATGCAGATCAGGCTCATTAAGGAGGAAGGGACCTAACATATGCTGAACATTAAGCTTATGCTGTGTTCTTCCCACATCTTCTCACTTAATCTTCTAAACTATAAGACATCAAAAATCAAGGAAGTGAAGCTCTCAGGGTTTACTTCAAACTTGCTTGAAGTCACAAAGAGGGTCTCAAAGGGGGTTATTTGCCATTTCTCTTGCTACTGCCTCCAAGAATGGCATGGGAAGGACAAAGGGGTGGTCCTTTCTGTCGTGGGCCTCTGCTGTGGTCTACCACAGTCCTCAGAGAGGCCCTAGTTGAACACTTTTGGATTAATTGATCTCACTGGGAGAAGATCTTGTTTATTAGCCGTTGGCTTATTCAAGTCCTGCCTTTCACTCAATGCTCAGCTCAATCCCACCCACTTCCCTTCCCCAGCACCACCATCTCCCTCTGCGGAACTCTTAAGATTATTCTTATTTATATCATTCTTCTGACTACAGCACATGTGATCTATTATTTTTTAAAAGAGTATGTCCTCAGCCGATTATTCACTCCTTCCGGTTGGAGACATGCATGTAACAGGCTCTCAAAAAAGCTTACTGCCAAGGATAACTCCTGAGCAGAGCCCCACATGTTCCTGGTGTCCCTGTCTATCTACATAAGACCACAAAGAGAAAGCTTAATACAACAGTGTCTTACCTTAATAACTTTGTCAGTTCCAGAAGTCAGTAACCACCCTCTGGTTGCATCAAAATGCACATGCACAATGTTATGTTTACTGTCATGGAAGGTAGCTGTGGGTGCTCGCCTGGAAGGAGCAAGAGGAGAGTAAAAGGTGGGACATGAATTACAGAGATATAGGATAATACTAGGCTCTACTTTTTAGGCTAATGGCTAAAACTGTCTCACTGTTAGAAATGCTTCCCAGATTGCCTTTATTCCCTGGTGGTCTGTTATAATTTATTTTAAAAAATCACAGTGCTTTGATAAAGTTTGTGCTCACAAGGAAGGACTTGCTGGTTTCCAGAAGGTTTCAGTTTTCAGTTAGAGCTAAGCTGCTTTACCTAAGAGGCAAATATTCTCAGTTGCCCACTACTCCACTGGCTGTTTGTCAGTCCTCCTAGGACCCTAGGTCAACCTAGCCTATTTAATTTTTTTTAAAGTGCATGTTAAAATGCTTACTACCCTACTATCATTCTACTTAAAGGGTATCCATTCATTCTCCTTTATTCACTGGTGTAGCTGCAAGCTTAAGTTTTTCTGTAGCATTTCAAATTTTCAACAAGCGAAACAAAAAATATAAACAAACATCTTTATTTGCTTTCTATTTTTTTCTTTTTTTTTAGCCAAGGTTTCGCTATATAGCTTAGGCTGGCCTTGAACCTGTGACACTCATCCTGCCTCAGAGTTTCTGGAGTGCTGGGAGTATAAGTGTGCACCCCCATGCCCAGCATGCTTTGTATCTTTTAACCTATGCTTTTTTTTTTTAAAGTAAGAGGCCTTGCTGACTGCCTACGTGCTCTAGAAGCAGTGGCAGTGCTTCACGAAGCGAGGTGGGAGGCACGGTGAGATGTGAAGGGCCACGGAGGCCGCAAAGCAGATGGCCACTCCCCATCACGTTCCAAAGGTCTCATGTGCAGTAGTGTCAAAAGATGGGATTTTTTTCTTTCCTTTTTCTGCAGCTAAATCTGCAAGATAGATCTTCAGTATGCTAAAAATGATCACATTCAAATCTTCACAATTAAAGATTTAGCCTTAATCTACAAGTTCCTTAGACTTTCTGGTCTGTGTCTTTATATAATAAAGAACTAAACTAGACTTCATCTCTAAGATCGCTTGCAGCTGTCTATTCAATAAAAACTCTTACTAATTTCATCATGTATAATCAGTGGAAAATATTTAATGAACATAAATGCTTACTTATGTAAGGGTATCTTAATTTATATTTGATAGGGGTAAACAATAATATTTAAAATGATTTGACCATACCGGGAGGACTGGGAGACAAGTTACCTAGGAGACTGATCCTCCTGTGCCATAGTAAAGGAAAACTTGTTCAGAGCATTCTGTTTGCATCACCAGACAGTTTTCAGTTAGTCAATATTAAAGAGAAAATGTAGATTCTCATCCCCTTTCATAGCACATCTAAGGTCCTAGGAGGACTGACAAGCAGCCAATGGAGTAGTGGGCAACCGAGAATATCTTCCTCTTACGTAAAGCAGCTTAGCTCCTCCTGAAAAGCGAAACCTTCTGGAGGATGGCCAGGGCCTAATTCAAATCCTGTAAAGACACCAGCCTGGGCTATAAAGTGAGTCCTTGGCCCTAACACTCCTGGGAAATTCTCAGTAAATGAGCAACAGAAGGGTTTGCTCAGAGAGCATCTACAGTGGTACCTTAATTCTTTCCATGATTCTGTTCCCAAACTGAGTTGGACGAGAACTGAACCAAATTCAATGGTTCAGTTCAATGTTGACCTTATAGGGAAATTTGATTAAGTTCTCATTCAGTTTGGTTTGTGATCAGAATTATGGAAAGAATTAAGTCTGTGAACCAAGGTACTACTGTATTTAAATGAACACACCCCAGGAATTAAAAAGAGCACAGAAATGAGTCAGGTAGGGTGCTGGATTCCTGTAATCTCAGCACTCTGGGAGGATGAGGCAGAAGATGGAAAGTTTGTGCCCAGGCTGTACAATTTAGCACCTTAGCAAGATACTGTGTCAAAAGCAAAAACAAAAAAAGGACTGGGGATGTAGCTCAGTGTGAAGGCCCTGGGTACAATCTCCAATACCCCCCCCCTCCCCCCACAAAAGCTCAGTATAAACTCTTTGTATTCTCTATCTCTCAACATAACAAATCTCTTGGTGGCAAAGGACTTGTATCACTTGTAGTGGTCTGTATCCAAACCAGCAGGAATTAGGGCCATCCAAGGTGTGGGTGGCTCCCTCTGTAACCAGAAGAGTCCTACAGACAGCGAGAACTTACTCTTCATCTGTGATGGCCTCATGACAGCTGTCACAGACCCTCACTTCAAACTCGAAGCCCATCAAGGGGATGGAGGAGCGCTTGGAGCTGCATTTGCCACAAACAGCCTTCCCACATTTGCGGCAATGGTGCTGGAGCAGGGAGAGAAAACAGAGGCTGCTATGGCTATGCATGACCTCCTGGCACACTCAGCTGTGAGCACTCAAGGTGAGGTTGCAAGGCAAGACTGCCCCTGAAACCACACAGGAGCACACCGGGTGCCTTCTCTTTTTGGGCTCTGGGTGTCCAGAATGATGACATGTACCACCTTCCCAGGCTACTTTCCACCCTCCATTCTTTCTCATGACTATCACTGTGACTACAGAGAACACAGTGGCCAGGAGGTCTTAAAGCTAGGTGTACTAAGGAAGTGCCATCTCCAGAGATTATGCTGCTGGATGAATAGAACATGGAAGAAACCTGATTCAACCCACTGCCTATAACTTTGGTCACCTAGGTGACCTTTTGATTTCCTTGGAAAAGACCAAGCTGAACCACGGGATCAGACTGGAAGTGATATACTATAAGCAGATCTAGATAACTAAAACCAAATCAGAAGGTGGAAAAATAAAATTATTAAGGAGAAACAAATACCACATATAATTTTATGGTTTGGAACCAATGTGAGCTAAGCATGATGCCTCTTAATTTTAAGGCACATTTCAAGAGATGCCATTAGAATTCTAAAATTGTATCCCTCAACTATTTACTGGGAACAAACTACTACAGAAAGTCAATCTAGGGGCTGGGGATTTAGCTCAGTGGTTTCGGCACCTGCTGCGCAAGCACAAGGACCCAAGTTCGATCCCTGGTACCAAAAAAAAAAAAAAGAAAGTGAATCTAATAGGAATGAGCTACAACAGACAAAGGGGGTATATTAATGTGCAGTCACAGAATGACTCCAGGATAATAATTTACCCCCACCAGAACTCCCACGCAGGCATGTTATTTCTTCTGAGATTACCAAGTTAAGTCATTTCCACATAATTACATCTGATGAAATATCCAAATCACCCACCTGTCTTAGGCCAATTTTCTTACTGTCCCACATTTGCTTGAAGTTCCAGAAGAAAGGCTGATCACACTTTTGGCAGGAGTCACTGTCCAACCACTCAGGGGTCTTATCAAATAAAGCACATAACAGGTCACAGTGAGAAGCAGAGTATACAAGGGAACAACTGACACTGATGAAACTTCTGGAAATCAGTACAAATTTATCCACAACAGAGAGGTGATTTCTTAGTCAATCATTTGAAAACTATTTACTCCAAGTTTGTATGTCATGCCCTAGGGGATGGGATGTGGTGGTAAATATGTTATGGAGCTTACAATTTATCCATGAAGACTGGTCATGAAAATATGAATAATTACTCAGTAAATCTAAGTGTGCAAAGGCCTGAGGAGAGGCACAGAGTGCTATGGCAAAGGTAAAGAGGGGGCTCTGACCAAGGTTGGTGTTTTCTGGGAAAAGGTAAGTCAGCTGAGACCTGAGAACAGACAGGAAGAGGCCAAGGAAAGGTGGCTGAGAGCAGCTCAGGCTAGCTGGAGGGCATGTAGGGAATGAGGGATGAGGCTAGAGGTTTTGGCTGAGCCCATACTGTAACTCTTGGCAGCCATGGGGAGATTTAGGACTGTATCTCATATTCTCAGACAGGATGTAATTACATTTGCTGTGATTGTTCAGTGATATCTAAGTGCACATCACACATATATGAAGCCACTGTATTGGAGTGGTATAAGCTGACCATGGTGGACACCTGAGGAAGCTACCAGTCTACTATTCACTCATGGCAGGGCCCCACTGGCTCATGGGGTCACATAATATTCTGACTTCGTTCACTATTTCTCAGTCCTGTCACAAGTAACCTAAACTATGTCAGACAGTTTTAAAAGTGTGTTCTGTGGAAAGTTATTGTTTAGTAGATCTATATTGATTATGCATGTTGACTGCATTTGCTTCCAGAGTTCCATGTTTGACTCTGTAGAATTAGTTTGCAATCAAATTTGGGGTAATTAAGAACTTCTAGTGAAAAAAACCACCAATAACCCACTTTACATATTAAAAACTGTATTACCATCATTTGCAAGAGGAAGTCATCTCCTATACAACACAGAACCCCAGAAAGCTTGAAAAATATGCCCAGCCCTAGGGTTTCCCAAAAGTGTATTCCAGGGAGTATCTGACTCAACAGACACTTACTTTTAAAGAGCCCTGGGATCAAACAAGTTTGAGAAATGCTATTAATAGCATCCCACCTACTCTAGACATTCATAGGGGACAATAGTATGTTAGCCGGCTCTGGAGTCCTGTCTTCATGGATGTGACGCTTTTCTAAGGGATACTTGCTATGCATAAGATTTAGAATTTAATTTAGCCTCTTTACCTTCAGGCAGAAATAAACCTAAAACTACATGTTTTCTCAAAAATAGGTAAAAGGGGACATTTTAAGAGCACTATTGTTGGTCTATTTATTTCATTAAAACTAAAGAAAAGGAGTAAGTCTTGATTTATTTTGTAATCTTCATGCTATATTCCACTGAAAGACAGATTTAATATAATAATACAAAGTTTTTAGCTAAAGACATTTTACCACCAAAAGACTTATCTATGCTGTCTTTCTTCAGACCATGTTATGTAGGAGAATCAGGGAATTTGAAGAAAGAAGAAAGAGGGAATCGAGTGTATTGTATGCTGTTTTACACACGTCCTGGTTTTGTCATGTTCGAATGCTGATGCTATCCAAACTTCGGAAATAAAAACTTAAAAAAAAATTTGCCCCCCTCAGAAAAAAAGAAGAGAGAAACAAAAACTTATTTGTTACACAAATAAATCAAGTGATACCTGTAGTTTGTAATCAAAGTTGGGCTAATTAAGAACTTCTAGTGAAAAAACAATTAGCAACTCACTATACATAATAAAAACCATATTATTATGTTCTTTGGAGAACTAGGGAGGATATTAGTGTTTATTTAAGAAATAATTTCCCCACCGGGGTGGTGGTACGCACATGCCTATAATCCCAGCACTCCCCTCCTGTGCTACATAGCGAGTTTGAGGCCTGCCTGAATTATATAGCGAGACCGTCTCACACACACACACACACACACACACACACACACAAATAAACAATTTCTCCAATATAACCTTATTACCATTAAAATCATGTAGTAAAAGCAAATATTTAAATGCATGGAAAATGTTCAATATACAATGAATGAGAAAACCCTCAGTTAGAAAGTAGTACATAGGCACAAAATGAACAGGCTAGAAGATATTTACTAAGTCTATACAGCTAACAAAGAACCCCCGCAAAACAATAAGAAAATGACAAGAAACACCTGAAAAACTGGCAAGAAGATACAAGAGATATGAATGTGTAATTCATAGATAGGGAAGGCTGAAAAGCTTAATATCTATTAAAAGCTCAAATTTACTATGAGCAGAGAATGCAAATTAAAACAAGATACTATTTATCCCTGTCTCCAGAAGGTCAAAACCAGAAATGGAGCAACAGTTACTGTTGGGGAGAATGTGGGGTGTCAGGACAGGAAACTCCACGTCTACCACTAGAAGTATAGTGGGTTTTTTTTTGGTATTGGGGATCGAACTCGGGTCCTTGCCTTTGTGAGGCAGGCGGCAGAACCACTGAGCTAAATCCCCAGCCCTACCACAATAAATGGGCACAGCCATTTGGTTACTTAGAAGAATCAAGAATATACCTGGACTGATCTCACAATAGGTCTATGAGGGGACATGTGAAGGGTCAGCTGGGAGCTGTGTGTGTGAGTGGCATCAGAGTTTCTGGTGATCTATGTGCCCTTTGTTTGGGGAACACAGAGTAGAATGGCACTGCTACATATTATGGAGTCTTATGCTACATATTATGGGGTCTTATGTGTACCCCAAGATACACCCAGCAGGATGGGAAGATCTCAAAAAGGGCCCCAGGGGAAAAGCTGGAAACAAACACAGGCTTGTAGTAGTACAGCATCATTTATGTAAACATTAAGACACACACACACACACGCATACACATACACACCACACACCTTTGTTTAAACACACATCAAATACATCACAGTGGGTATGTTGGTATCTATGATGAGGGATTTAGGAAGAAGGACCAGGAAAGGAGAAAAAAATAAATCAGCAGTATAATAGGATTTCATGTTTTTGTTAAAAAAATTTTACACAAGTGTAGAAAAAATTTAAAAGAAGGGTGTTTGCCAACACGTTAGGGTGATGCTTCTGAGTGGTGTATTATTAGTAACTGACCTTATTTCTATTTGTGAATGAGCATTTTGTAACTTTTCTACAAAGAACATGTATTATATGCAATACATTTAAAAAATGATGTTTGAAAGCCAGGTGTGGTGGTGCAGACCTGCATACCCAACACTTGGGAGGGTGAGGCAAGAGGATCGGCACAAGTTTGAGGCCAACCTGAGCTATACAGTAAGTTCAAAGCCAGCTTGAATTCCATAGCAAGACCCTGTCTCAAAAAAAAAATCCAAAAACATAAAAATAATGAAATAAAAATGCTGTTTGAATAAATATTTTATTAATGGTATAGACAAACACATGCTGTATGGCAGCAGTCCCCAAGGTTTTTCCTACCAAGGAGCAGCTTTGTGGAAGACAATTTCTCCATGGCAGGGGGGCGGTGAGGGTAAGGGGATGGTTTAGGGATGATTTAAAGGAATAAGCAAATTAGAGCTCTGTGCATACGCAGTTCACAGTAGGGTTTGTGCTCCTGTGAGAACCGAATGGCACTGCTGATCTGACTCATGTGGTAATGAAAATGGGGAGCAGCTGATATCTAGGCGAAGCTTTGCTAGCTTGCCTGCCACTCACCTCCTGCTCTGGGGTTTGACCCCTAATGGGCCTCTGAGTGGTGCTGACCCATGGCCCAGGGGCTGGGGACCTCTGTTGTATGGGATGTCAACTCCATCTGGATCTAGCCACTCTCAAGGTCTCCTGTCATCTGTCTCCAACTGTCCTCTACCTGCCATCTTCTCATTCTTGAGTGCTGCTAACATGCTTAGGAGCACTGATGCACAATGTGGATCTTGTCCCCACTCTTGATGCTTCCTGGCCTCCAAAGCCCACGAAGCTCTTGCTTAGAGCACATCCAGGCCCCACTGGATCTTCCACAAAACCCTTCCTCAAGAACCTCAGCCAAACAATAATTCTTCCTCTAATACTCAGCACGAATGTTCCATCTTACATCTAACACGATTCCTCATTTATACCACTAAATAGGATTCTCATGTTTTCTGAAAGTCTGTCTGTGCATCAGGCTGGCCAGTACTTCATCTCAGGCCTTCCAGGGTGAGCATCGCACAGCCCCTGCCATAATCAGGAAGATCCCCAGTCAATGAGGCACAGAAACCATCACAGGAGATTTAGCTTTACAAAATATGATATTTGCAAAAGATAGGTGGATGCATTTCCACTGCATATTCAGAACACTGACTTACTCACCAAGACTTGGAAATCAACACATACTAAGTACCCCTATATCTGCATGTCAGGGAGCATAATTTAAGCAAGAGGGCTCAAAGGATCATCCATCACCACCTGCTTTCAACTCTGGAAACAATGCTGTTATCCTCCTTTGAGCCTCTGTGCATAAAGGGGACAGGATACTTGTTTGGAGGGAAAAGATCCTGGCTGTTCTCTCCCTCAGCTTGGCCTTGAAAGAAGCCAAGCCAGAACAGGTATGACTGTCCGTGACTCAAAGCAGGCTACCAAGCTGAGCCAGAAGCAGGACACAATCACTGGTCCCAGGGGAGCATGGCAGGCATGACCAGCACTCAATGTAACATCCCTTGGCTTTGTATGGATGGTGCCAAGTGTACTTTTGAAAAGCAATATTCTGCAAGTCCCCACTTCCTCACAGTAATGATCATTTTAATTAGTTACTAATAGAACTCCTGTGGATTTATGGTTTGAGCAAATAAAGCTTTACTCTTCTTAAGCATTTAATTACTGGAATTTGAAAGGCATTACATTGTGGGCAGCAGCAACTATTCTCTTGAAACCAGACTGGGGTAAGGGCACGGAAATAGCTTTTGTCTGGTAAAAACGTTCTTTTTTTTTTTTTAATCTAATTCTTACATTTTGCAAGAAATAAATTAAAAGAATGTACACTGTTAAAGGAAAAGTCTACCCAGAATAATTCTAGGGTAATGGGAAAATGGCTAACTTCAAAGTATGTGTCAAAGGGGCTTTTCAGTAAACATATTAGTTGTTAAGATGCTCAAAGGTTAAAAGTAAAGTTCATTAAAAGATGGTGTTGTGATAAAATTTTAGTTGTGCTGAAAAAAGATAGGTACTTAGAACATGAGTCACTGAGTCACTAAGTAGCGCAAAAATTATTTCTAGTAGTTCTATTATTATTTCTAGTAGTACTATATCTTTTTTTTTTTTGTACCGGGGATGGAACTCGGGTCATTGTGCTTGTGCAGCAGGCGGTGAAACCACTGAGCTAAATCCCCGGCCCTGGTAGTACTATTTTACTGGTTAATTAATTGAAATCCATGGTATACATTCATTGTAGTACTATTTCTATTAATACCGAATTAAAGTTTCTTCCTTCGTAGCCACTGTTACCCTCTATAACATAAAGCTTGTGTTTCCTGTTTTCATGGGGCATTTTATAATAAAGGACTATCACTGGATTAAATGGTTCCTTTTTCTCATCTGTACTTTTGCTTTGAATGTTTTAATAGACCCAATGTGTAAACAGACCTAAGGTGTAAACAGCTTGGCCTCAGTCAAAGTTCTCATGAAATCTCTTATCACATTAACTTTACATGCCAATGTATGAAGGGGGGAAAAAGGGAATTCACTTCATACTGTATTTTTAATACTGTGAAACAATGTTTCTTATTTCATGGTTTGTTTATCAAAGAAATAAGAGATAAGCAGGAGGGAAGATGAAGCCAGAACTGTAGGGCTCAGCTCAGCCTAGTGACACCTACCTCCTGCCTCTCTACATCCATGTTCCAGACAACAATGCCACCGTCACCACCACAGGAGATGAGCTGCCGTGTGTGCTGTGCATAGGAGAGGGCCTGTACTTTATCACTGTGAAAGAAAACAATGGTTGGTGATAGGTCAAGAAAGCAAATAATAGGCCTAATGGCAGAAATCCCAGTAAAGGTGACCAAAATGAGCACATTCACTCTGAGTCCCAAGTGTAGACCTCAGAAACCTGAAAGGATCTTCAACATACTAAAGGCCAGGTAAGACTAAGTGCTGCTTTAACAAACTCAGGCCCTAGAAAGAGGTCGTCTTTGACAATAACCAACACTTAAAGAAAAAAGCTTAACTGTTGAACTGGTTGTTATATTTTACTGGTTATCCCTTTTTTTAATTAACTGAAATCCATGGTATACATTCATTGTGTATTTTTTCAAGTCATGATTTTACATTTGAAAGCATTATTTTCTAAGAGTTTTGGAGGTCATCTGTTGAGATGTCCACTGAGTTCAGGTGACAGAGAGGGTGACTGTGCTCCTGAGGTGTGAGACTCATGGGTGCTGAAGCCTTGGGAAGCCTTTTTTTGGCTCCCAAAATAAATCCAAAGTAGTGATGGACTGGAACTTCACTGACTCTTGATTTCTCTAGTTTTTATTTCCTCTCTTCTGGTGTTTTATTTCTCTTTCTAGTTTGTGCATGGCTGACAAGTTATTTCCTCTTCTCCCAGTGGTAAGAATGATGGAGAATTCAGATTGATGGTTGACAGTTTGATGATCGCTAGCAATGAAGTATAGAGATCTATAGAGAGCAGGGTTATCTGGTTTCTTGGTCATTTTTGTTTGTATATTGGGTTGAGTCCAAATCAATTAAGAATTTTGTGACTGCTGGGAAGAAGAACAGTTCTTTGATATCTAGACTGACGATGTAAAAGTAATGTATATCACAGTGGAAATACTGGTTGGTCAGGCATGAACTTTGCCGGCCTGCTAAATTGCCTGCACATGACAAGATAGCTCTGAACTGTCTATATCCTCCCTCCTCCCAGTTTCTCTGAAATAAGTTACTTTGGTAATTACTACAATTAAAATGAGGAGTGAAGACTATGCTAGGTGCAATAATGAAAAAACAATACAAGTATGCATGTACTTTTGTTTCTGAAAGAAAAAGTGATTTTGAGAGTAATTTTGTCTTAAATTAGTGCTTCTCAAGCTTTTTGGTTTAAGGATCCCTTCATACTCTTAAAATTTATTTGAGGACATCAAAGAGCTTTGGTTTAAATGAATAACTATCAACATTTACTGTATTTTAAGTTAAAACAAATTTTAAAAATATTGATTCAAATGAAAATATGAATTGACCCCATTTTAATATCATATGTATTTTTTGAAAAATGTATTTTCCAAAAGAAAATTCTTGTTAAGAAAAAAGTTAATTGTTTAATGAAATCTTTTTACTGTCTGGTTTAACAGGAGATAGATACTCATATCTTTCTGCATTTATTGTGACATCACTCATCATATAGCCTATGGAAAACTCTACTGTATACTTTTGAGATAATAAAGATACTAAAAAAGCAATCCTAAAGTGTCAATTTGTTGCAGAATATGAAAGGGAAAAATGAAGGACACCACTTGGAAAATGAATTTTATTTGCTTTGGTTTATAGTATCTGAGACTAAAAAGGCTATAAAAAGCATTACAATTTTGGCAAAGTTCCCTCAGTTTTGACAGCTTGCTTCCTTGAATGCCTCATTATCTATGATATGTTTTTAGCCTCAGGGAACATAGTCCTCTAAACTCTTAGGAAATAGCTAAGGAAGATATCCTAATAGGCAACTGTACTCTCCCCCATTCTGATATTGGTCACAGTAACATATTAACCATTAAGCCACTAAGTTTCCATAATCTACAGATAACTTTTGTATTATTTTGATACTATAAGCACAGGCTAGGGTCTATGACTTCAATAAACAAGAGTCTCAGTTTCATGGAAAGGCCTGCATGTACCAGGTATTTAAAAATACTGATACTTCAAAGAATAGACTGCAGGGATCAGTTCATTGAGCTGACATTGCTGTGCCAGTGGGTTGAGTCAGGATTTCTGTTCTCTTTTTAGTTTGGATGCAAATGGCTATATGAACATGGACTGCTAAATCAAGAACCAATAAAATAAGAATGAATTACAGTTCATTTGTGGATATAAGCCTGGAATGCTGTTGATGTTTCAGTGTTCTATTTTCTGGATATATGAGGATGGCTTTTTCCTTACTTTTTAAGCTATCTCTAGCCTACAATTTACTAAGTTCTACTTTTATAATCTAAATCAAAATATTTTAAAATGATACTCAATTCTCACTGACTGTCCAGCATTTAAGTGACTGAATATTCCTTTGTCACAGCAAAAGAGTTATCTGTATAGGTTCAATGAGAATCTATGGACATGACAGAACTGGTCAAACCAACTGTACAACTGGAGTGTCATATTTGAGAACTGAATCAGAAATGACTCCCTACTTTAAGAACTCACTGAGCCAAGGCCTAAGAGCCTTTCCCCCAAAACTATCTCGGTATATGGTTTTCACTGTCCTAACCTTTCAGGAGGTAAGGAAGGCACCTTGCCAGGACTCCAGTAAATGCTAGAAACTCCCAGGAATTTATCCAAGGTTTTAAGTACCCTAGATAAAGTATGGTAAAGAATTTCTCAGGTTGGGTCTTCTAGCCTTATAAAAGCTAGTAACAGAGGTTCTGAAAAGACCAATCCAAGATTTATCATAACAACTCGTAGGCAGAAGTTAAATTTTGTGGGTGTTAACAGTTATTGAATACCATGTGGTTCTAAATATATAAAGCAAACCCAAGAAGGCTTTAAAGGGTTGATAAATACTCTTACTGCATCAATATAAATAGGCCAAACCTTACTGAGACCAGCCTCTTTTTGTGATCAAGACTAATCTTTGTGATTATCATGATCAAGTAAAGAGGAACTGTCAGGCAGACTGTGAATGACTTGAAATTGGTAAAAAGATATTACTGGGTAATTGGGTCTCTTTCCAGTGGAATATTAGGTGTTGTTTAGCACACGCTTCCCGGTTATCTGATTCTATACAGGTCTCTACTGTTCAGTAACTTTAGCTGAGCTATTTTAGAACTCTATGCTATAGAAGACTGACATTACTACAAATAAATCTTTTTTTTTTTTGGTACCAGGGGTGGAACTCGGGTCCTTGCGGTTGCGAGGCAGGCGGTGGAACCACTGAGCTAAATCCCTGGCACTACAAATAAATCTTGTCCAGTGAAAACACCACTATCTTCAAGTTCTATCTCACCCAAAGAAGCCAGCTGTGCATCTTCTCACTAATTCACCTGAGCACTGTCCACTGCCTATGCATGTGTCTTCTCTTTGTATTTACCGTTGGACTGGATGAAAAATCTTACTGGTTCTCTTATTAATTCATGACTAATGTAAAACCTTTGACAGGTATTCATGTTTTTTAAAGTCAGTGATTTTTCTCACTATTTCTCCTGGTTGTTATTTTATACATTTTAAAGTATGGAGTGTCACCATTCCGACATTCAAGGTTAAGAAGGAAAATCTATCTCATTGAATAGAATCGTATCTTTTAGATTTGAACTACACGTCATTTGTTAAGGCATTCTGATACACACCGATGATCTTGTCAAACCAAAATAAGCTACAGAAGGAACTGCTTTGCCATTCATAGCTGACAGCAACATCCAGCAACAAATATATAATTTATGGGACTACAGGAATGTTAATATTCCAACACAGAGGAGTGGAACACAGGGATGTATGCTGGATTCTGAGCTTTATAATAAAGCTGGTCAGACGTAAGGACTCAAAATGTAGCCACCTCTCAGTTAAAAACTAGACAAAGGAATGTCCCTGGGTTCACAGAATGAAACGAAATTTCTTACATTCATGTTTCATCCGATATCACTGTAGCATTTATACTAGACAGCATTTCAAAACTGGTTATTGTTTCGTGGATGAGTGTGCTCCATGGACTGCACACTGCACTACAAATGCTTCGAAGAGTGCACAAAAATCTCACTCTTCAAACCACCAGGATCTGCCATCTATAAATACCGCACTTAGTGGGATGGCCTCATTTCCTTTCTTACCAGTCCTAGAGCAACATATGTCTGATTGGGCCCAGCTGTATAATTTGAGGAAGATAGCGAAAATGAAAATACAGGACCCCTTGTTAAAAATTTATTATGAAGTAGAAGCTGGTAATGGCAGAGCATTAAATCTAATGTGAGATCCTTCTAAGGATGGGGACTTGTGTGATGGCACAGGTCACACACCTGTGGGCATTCTGTGTCTGATGCTCATAGGAGAAAGCAGAAAAGGCCTTATCCTCTTTATGGAATCTGACTCTCAGACATAGGCTAACATCGGTCCACAGGCTACTTCAAGCCCTTTCCATTCCCCAAGAGTTGGGGGATTGCAGTATATAACATCTTTCATTTCTGTGATGGAAGTCTAGGTAATTTAGGGAAAATCTAATTAGTTATGCATCTGCTACCAGAGATCTCACTTTCCAATATTCCTAAGTCTTCTAACCTCCAAGACCAGAGGAGGCTTGTGAGCAACACACACACACACACACACGTGCGCATGGACACACCACATACCTAGGTGGTAATGATACTTAGGGTCAACCCACACCCAAGCGACCCTAAATGGGATCTGCTTCTACAAAGATCATTGCATTGCTGCCAGTCTGCACGAGAACCCAGAGGCAATTGCTGAGCATTGGCAACATTCTGCAGTTTACTGACAAGGGGAGAGAAGTTCAGATTATGCACTGCGTCTTTGTCCTCTTGCATCTATCTCCTGAACCTGTTCTATTTGAACTCATGCTGTTCTACTTTCAGAAACCTTCTAATCCTGAGAACTATGAAAATCTTTTCATTTTCTGAAATCTAAATCAAGAGTGCCTCTCTCCATGCCCTTGCTAAGGCCTCTTTTTCCAGTAAAATGTGCAAACCATCCCAACTTTACCCATCTTTCCTACTTTCAGCACAGCTCTGTAAGCAGAGCTTACAAAGGCTCTTTGTAAGAGAGCCTTTTAAAAAAAA